AGTTTATAAGTAGATTAGTTATAAATAATGGCTGAAATAATATTAATAATATGCATATGAAATAGACAATTGTGACTAACCTATTCATGAAGCATTTCTTCAAAGAACCGATGGTACGTCCTTTAGCAAATCATTCAGTCACTCCCAAACTGAAGAAATCACTCCTGTTGATAGAAAAAAAAGTTTTAATATAGCAAAGTGTGGAAGACGGTAGCAAATAATTTTATAAGAAATTACCTGAGATTTTATTTTATGCAATAAGGATATGAAAAAGTATAAATTACTTGTAATGACGATTGAATTTAAAAATATATATATTTTTCAACAAAAAAAAAAAAAATCAAATTAAAAATTTCTACTAGAAAAGCCAACACCTCACAATATATATCTTCTTTATTGGTTTATAATAATTCATATTATAGAAGATAATATAATAATAAGTAATTCATTTAATTTTGATTTACTGCCACCTGTAAGGTATTTTTTTGTTTGATTTTTTTTCTAACTTTCGATTTCCAGTTCCTAGAAATAAGAGTTGGTTTTCTTTATTGAATAATGTTAACACATTTTAGTTAAATCTTTTTTTTTTTAGCCAAAGATTGTTGAATCTGTATTTATGTCTCTAAATTATACAAAAAATAAATAAAATAAATTACTTCAATAAAACGAATGGATACAAATCAATATTGAATCATCTATTAACCATTTATAACCTAAATTAGAAGTAGTAAAATTTAATAAAACATATTTAACTAAGCATTTGAGGAATGTGTTTAATTAAACTACTCAAAGTAAAAAAAAAAATGAAACCTATTAAACTTACAACGAAGATAGAAACAAAAGTTAAACCAATATTGCTCAGATATTTATTACTTTCATAGCAGAATTGTTCGGCACTCAAATTTTACTACCGACATATACATGTATTTTTGTTAATATTTCGATATATTTATATTTTTCCAACATCCAAATTTCCTACATCACATGATGATAACGATAAGGAAATTCTTGCAGAGCATGAAATTGGAAGGGACTTAGAACTTGCTGTCAAGTAAGATTAATTGCAGTTGAGTCATTTAGTGACCCATTTATTGATCAATATAGAACTGTAATTAGTTCCATTACAGGTCAAGTCGCGTTGCGGTTATTCCAATATTACGCAGTCTTAAATCCACCTTCCTTGGTGAATATTATTGAATCAATAATATTGAAGAACAATTTTTGAACTTAGTAGGAGAGACTGAGTACGAATGTGGCGTTCGCATATTAGCGAAACTATAAGGAATTGCCGATAGATTTATAAGGAAGAAAGGGATGTTGTGCCTGTCTGAATGTATTCAACGGTATTGCTAACGCAAGGAGCGACATAAACGATAATAGAAGGCACATATTACTATAGTTTAACGTACAAAACACTAGCGGGTTCAGGATTTTATTTAGGGGGGTGCTTCAGCCCGAAAACTTGTTTTTTCATAAAAATGACGATAATTATTTTGGAAAACAAGAAACTAACTATCTATATGAAATGGTGTTTAAGTGATTCCTTAAGTCCTTTCAAAGGTAATTAGACGAACAATAATACTTTACGAGATAATTTTTTAATAGTTTTGTCCATAAAATATGGTTATATTTTACCATTTTTGGAGGGGGGAGGGAGAGGGGGGACAGTCCGAAAGCCTCTCCCTCCCCCCCTCGTAGACCGCCCGTGGTACAAAAGTAACTATTTTAATAATATTTCTATTAACTATCGTTGTCATATATTTAAAGTTAATTCCTCGTTATAAGTTAAACATTAGTTGATAATTGGCAGTTCGACAAACAAAATCGAGTGGTAAGTAAGATACTCGCACCATATTTCTATTAAATTGAAAAGCCTATTTTATAGTTCATTGCTTTTCATATTACTATAGTTAAAACATTAAAAATAAAACAAAATACCAGGCCCTCCTAACATTAAATCCTGGACCTGCTACTGTCTTCTAATGAAAATATTTTTACGCATTAAAGTTCCCCCTTTTAATGGGTGCCATTATGTAATGCCATCGCTTTAATTTGGCATATTTATTGCTGAGGATGGACATTATTACGATATAAACTGACGTAATTTTGACTGGACACTTGGATTGAAATATTTATTGCAAAAATCTATGTATACTTTATAATAAAGATAAGGTTATAAGGATTTAATATGACAGTTGAAGAATAGGTAAGGGATCCGTAAAGGAAAGGAATGCGTTGAAGGGATTAGAAGAGAAGCGGTGAGAAGACATATATCAAAGGAGCAAGAGAGGAGCTAACGAGCAAGATCCCTTCCACCTCTTTGTACCACCCGGCTTCTACCTCTTAGCAGTATCCCTTTATCTCGTCATCTTCACCCTCGAGCGGGGGCAGCCCGGTGAAGTTATTTCCGCCGATCGAACGGTCCAAGTCCGAATCCATTCTCCAGTATTATAAGCTGTCACGGTAGCTTATAAGCTAATAAGCACTTCACTGATAGGTCGAATTACAAAGTGATCTCCTTCGTGGAAATTTAATAGTATATATCATTTCAAGATATTATTCAATAACATTAAGCATCAAGTAATTTCAATCAAAAACATTAATTATAACAATTAATTAAAAAACAGCTTACAAATCTCCAGCATATATAATATGTTAACATAAATCCCTTTTTCGGCTCTCAGGAACGATGGATTTCGATGAATGAGGTATCAAGCGAAATGGAATATAAAGGAGAAGTGCCGAATCCCAATTTCGATTATTAATTCCTTCAACTTAAATGAAAGTACTTGAGAATCATCATCTTTGAAATCTACGGCATCTGAAAGACTGACAAGTTTCATTTTACTTAAAATAACATACAATTTCATAATTCTTATTATCACTTTCTGATGCACTGACTAGCTACTTGTTTAGACCCATGCTAGAGCTTTTGATCCAAATTTAGATAACTTAAAGTGAAATTCACAGAATAATGCTATATCTGTAAGATTTATTTATTTTTTTATATTTCAAATAAAATTCGTTAAAACTAAAACAATCAGACTGAGCATACCGAAAATTCAACTCTAAACCCGAGAGCGTTCATTATCACCTTCTTTATATTAACAGAAGGCAACGTTGGGCCGGAAACTATGTTTTAGAGCAAAACTCTGAAATTGGAGCGGAAATTGATCTGCCTCTTTTGTTCCTTGAAAAAAAAAGCGGATACGAGAGGGAAATGGAATGCGGTGTACAATAGCGCCACCCAATGCAATTTAATCCTAACCTGGAGTAAACCATTGTTTCTCTCGCCCCAGAGAAGAGTTTCAAGCAAAGCATACATCCGATGGTTTGTTATGGAGTGACTGGTCGATATAATATTTACTTATTATTAACGCAACTGCCAGGAATTCACAATAAATTTGGTTACTTTTATTTTTTTTTCTATATGTAGAGATAGAATATATTTTAATAACATTAAAATTCCAACATCAGACGTAATTAGGTATTTAGGTTTTTACCTGGACAAAAGAATTACTTGGAAGACTCACATCAGACAAAAACTAATAGAATTAAGACGATACGGTATTTTATCCAGATTACTTGACAGACGTTCAAAATTATCTCTAACTAACTCTCTAACATTAAAAAAGCTCAGTCCTTTCAATCAAAAGTGTTGCGAAGGATAGTTGCACCGTTTTATGTCACAAATGATACACAACATAAAGACTTAAACGTACCTACAATTTTAGATACTGCAAAAGAGAAATGCAATAACTTTCAACAAAGACTGACGTACAACATGAATCCCCTGACAGAAATTCTTCATCGTACAAGAAACCCGTACAGCCCCCTACAACGATTACGCAGGCGTTGGCCAAGAGACCTGCTGTGATCTGATTTATATCCCGGACGTCATGGCAAGCTGTGAAGCTGCCAAAAAATTTGCTCATTGCAAAGAAATTTGGAGATTGCAAATTTAATCAAATGTTGACATTTTTGTTTCGTTAATAAATAAATAAATATGTACAGATTCTGATACAATATGAAATGTTAGGACTAATTCATATTGGTCATATTACTGATAGGACAAAACCAAACGGTGCTTATATAAAAATAAATAAATAATATAAAATAGAGTTTTTTATACAGTCCCAAATGTCTCTGAAAAAAAAAGAATTGTTTTTAAAAAATTATTAAAGTAAATGCTTTAGACAACCAAATGACAACAAAAACCGAAAAAAAAAATCTTAAAGTGAACGTTTGAAATTGAAAGTTAAGATTTATTTATTTTAGAACAAATTTACGGTTCTGCAAAAAAGAAACACTTACAAAAACTACAGACATTTCACTCCAAAATTTTACGACTTATAACAGGAGCTCCTTGGTATGTAAACAACAAAACTTTACATAACGACTTACGACAACCAACTATCGACCAACACATACGCGATCTCTACTCCCGATTTCATCTTAAACTACACGGACATCACAATGGACCTATTTACCACATGGCCACAGCTGACATGTCTACCAGGAGACGACTAAAGAGAAGCAGGATGAGAGATCTCCTTTCTTGAATTAAGGAAATAAATCAAGACCAGGAAGAAGTGCTGCTGGGTACTATTTTTTTTTTCCTCATGCCTAAAATGTCAATTTTTCGTATTAGTTACAGCACATCTGCTTATTGTCAAGCTCATGACAGGTGTGGACGGAAATATGAAGACAAAAAAAAAAAGGTTTTAGGAATTTGTTTAAGATATATTACAATCTGTAACATTTAAGGACAATAGTAATAGTGATAAAGAGTAGCTCATTCGTACTATGCACGATAAATAAAAAAAAAAAAAGTTAAATTAATTATAATAATTATTAAAATTCAATTGAAGCATTGAAATAAAATAAAAGATGGTAAATTATAAAATCCATTCATCCTTATTTACAGTCAGTCTAAGCAACTGTCAGTCTGGACTTTTCTCGAACGACTGGAGCACAAGCAATACCGGTATAGGAAGCCAATGGAGATTGGAAGTGGGTACCACAGCTTTGAACACTCTAAAATTAAAATGCGGAGAAACAGGACATACCATGAGTGACATCTTTTAAAATTTCGGAAGAAGTCTTCATTATGTTAAACCGTTAATCAAATGATACCATTAATGATCCTCGGATCTGAAGTGGTCAAAGGGAAACTAAAATATTCAGAAGGCGTGGCATTTAAGGAGGATACATTAGGATTTTAATTCGGGCGAGAAATGTGCACATTTCCATTCCAATATAGTCTTCTTTAGGCCGTTCACTAAGCCTGCCAGGAACCATTCTTATGCAAAGGACCCTAACAGTCCTGGATCTTCATTTCCTGCAGGATCGCCGCCTTGGGGTGAGGGGGACTGGCCCTCCGCAACTATTGGAACCAAAAGAAGAAATGGCCGAAGGACCTCTGCTAAAACTGATTTCTCTCTTTAATTGATGAGCACTTGACAGGGAGTGGAGATTAGCGAGACTCTTACATCATTTATTTGAGTGAAGTTGAGGTTTCACTAAGACAGTAGTAACATGAGTGTTACACGCTACATTTCTGAGCATTGAAAAAGTACTATAAATAATAATAAACGTTTAACATGAAAGAGAAGAAACAAAACCTCTGAGATTTTACTGAATACCGTAGTACATACCCCGTTATAAAGGGTGTCCCGTAGGTAGAGAGAAATATTTATAGGAATGGTAGCAGACATCAAGAGCTACAAAAAAGTTTATATAAACATTGGTCCGATTTCCGGCAATGTTGGAAATATGTTTTGTGTTAAATAAGTCACGTTTTTTTTAGAATAGGAAGTGAAAACTAAAAACTATTCAATTTAAGTAGTAACCAATTGCTTCACAGTAAACTAGACAATATTTATTTTAAATAAAACTGTATTTTGTCATTGTTAAAACCATTTAAAGGGAACTTTTAAATGGCTAAACTAAGCTAAGTGCTGTTTTAAAAAATGCATCAATTATTCGCGATTTTTTTTTATCCATATCATCCTCCAAATATAATACCGATACCCACTTTTAGTAAGTCTTTAATAAGCTTTAAGGCCATACTTATTGAGTTGAGGTTTAACTCTGCCACCTAAAATTATACGTGTTTTTAGTAAAAATTACTACAATCAATTATTGCAAAACTTATATTTCCTACTTTTTTTTAAAAATTTTTATTGGAATGCATTATAGGAAGTGAGGTAGTTCAGTGGTAGGGTACTGAGCTTCCGATGTTCAAAGTCCCAGGTTCGAATCCCAGCTCATGGCAGAAAAAATATATTTTCTGTTCCATTGGCCGAAGGGCGACCCTGAGTAGGCAGACCCTCCTGAGGCACAACCAGTCTCTATAATGTGGATACTCATAATTAAAACTGTTAATTAAGAGGGAAACCTGGCGGTTGAGCGTGATCTCGGTCTAATCACCTCATTGGATAACCGTAGACCAAGAAACAATGCTTTCCCTAAATATTACTGAACCCAAGACATTGGTTGCAGTTGCAGTCTGAACCCAAGACAGTTTTTTCAGAATATATCATAATAAGCATAATTGCCTAAATATACTTTTTATTAATTAAAAAAGTCTTTTAAATGATGATTTTTTCAATTATTCTTCATATAAGGACATAATAATTCGCAATTTTTTTATTCATAGTCCAACTATATTACAGATTCAGAACTTTTAGATTAACTTCCGCTTTAAATAAGCTCAACCTCCACACTAATTTAATTCAGATTTATTTTGGAAAAAGGTGAGATTCATCTTGTATACAAAACTATGTGATTTCATGTTTTATGTTACCTAAAAGTACTAGTTTTTTCAGCCAAAATGATTAGAATAAATGATCGCAAAGCTTTAATTTTTTTTTCTCGATGATCTAATCAATATGAATGCATAAACACAGGTACATTATGTTTGTCACTTATAAATACAGATCAATTCCTCTACTAGAGATGGTTAGTAAAAAAACAAAAACAAAAAAAACACATTTTCATTATCACTTTAAATAATGATAAATTGAAAAATCATTATTTTGAAATATTTTTTAGAGAAATAAAAAGTATGTTTATGCATTCATATTAATTAGGGCATCGAAAAAAAAATTTAAGCTTGCGATAATTTATTCTAATCATTTTGGATGGAAAAAAAAAAAACGGGTACTTTAAGATAACATGATATAAAATCACATAATTTTTTATAAAAGTTGAATCTCAACTTTTTCTTATATGAATCTGAATTAAATTAGTGCGAACTATGAATACATTTTTTTTTTTTAAACAGAATTCAGTTCATTTTGGCCGCACATGGTTTTAATTCAAGTTTGAAGTGCTCTTTAAATGGTTTTAAAAATGACAAACTCTATGTTCATTTGAAGTAAATTTTGTCTAGTTTGCAGAGGAACAATTTTTAATTACTTAAATTAAACATATTTTTAGTTATCAACAAAAAAAACGTAGCTTACGTCAAAAAAACAATTATCATAAATTTCCTACTTCCCTAGCGAAAATCGGTCCAATGTTAATATTAACTTTTTGTAACTCTTGAGTTCTGCTATGACTCTTATACATATTTTCCTCAACTTATTTTATAATGGAGTTACTCTTACATATATTATATTAATAAATCTACATCTTCGTACCATCTAACATGCCTGTTCTTAAGTTAAATTCTATTATCATTAGATAAATGTTACGAATGTGCCCCGTGTCATTTCAGGAGTCATTGACTCTAACCGTAGTAACATGTGGCAACCTAAACATTGGCCTGAAATACAATATATTCCATTAAATTTTACATTATTTAACATAAATGCAGAAGAAAATATGGCTTCGTAAACATCTGCAGTCGTGATCTATTTGACAGTACATATTAATAGGATTTTCATGTGGAGAAGAGTTTATAATAAATATTTCGGAGATAATTGGATAGTCGGTCAGAGAATGAGGCGACCGGATGTATCGAACGATAACGGCTATCAATTCAAAGACAGATAAAAAAAACTTTAGCCAAATCCGATTCCATTGTAAACAGGATAACCCGTCGACCTGAGATTAAAATAAGAAAAATAAGGAGGATATATTGCATCGAATGGAGGAAGAGAGTTTCTTTTTTTTCTTGTATGGGATGTGACGGAGATGCAAAATTTAAGTTTTCGACTTCGACGCCTCTCTGGATCACATTTGAAAATTCCTAGGAGGGCAGGGTAGCCAACGCGCTAACGCGTGTGCACAGCACCGCCGTTGCCTGGCAACCTGATATATGAGACAAATAATAAAAAATAGTCACGGGTTCGCCTGTTAAATTCCCGCCCACCTCCCCTGGCCCGGGTATAAACCCCGTATAGTCTTAAAGGCAAGGAAGAGGATTAAAAAAAAAAAAAAAATGGGTCGTTGTGGACGATTGGGCTAAAAAAGTACGAGTTCGTATCCCGGTACCGGGGAGGATTTTAAATTTCACGTAATAGGTAACTGCAAGACTGTTGCGAGACGTCTTGGCCTCGGAATTGGGCAACACTAACCATGAGTCACCACTATATCACCGAGACGCAGTGTTGCTTCAAATATTTAGCTTAAATATATCTTTTAAGTCAAAAGTCAGTGAGTACATTTTTGATGGGGAGGTGGACCTGAATTCTTACGAACGTTTTTGAGACTTTCTACTTTTTTTAATAAAAAAAAAAATCATAATCTGCACTAATAAAATGATATGAAACGAATCCTTTTATAAATCAAATTTACTTACAAGAGGAGTAGAATTTTCTGATTTCACAAAGGAAAAATTCATTAATAGTTCTTAGTGATTTGAATTTATGAAATGTCATATATGATCTTTTGCAAATAAATCGGCGATATGTTTTTACATTCACATACCTATATATGTAAAATATAGTAAGGGTAAGCAGTCTCAGTTTTCAACGGAAATACACGATATGAGGTAATCCGAGTCCAAATAACCAAGTCCCACAAAATGGTCTGTGCGTGTGTATAGCATTTCCAAGTCAATTTCAACCTTTTCCAAGTCAAATTCAACCTTTTCCAAGTCAAATTCAACCTTTTCCATTCCAAATTAAACCTTTTCCATTTCAAATTCAACCTTTTTTTATTTATTTAATTATCTTTAATTTTTCGATGTGTGGGTCTGTTACGGTATGAGTAGTTTTTGAAAATAACCTCCTTTTTAAGATTACGTGACTGAGTTTCGAATTATTTAAGTTTTTTTGAATTATTCGATATAAGGGTGTATTTTTATGTTTCCCGATCAGTAAATTTTGAAAATGACATCCATTTTATGTTTACGCCACTGTGTTTTGATTTATTTAAGTTTTTAGAATTTATCCAATATAAAGGTCTACTTTTATGTTTCTGGAGCCGTAGATTTTGAAAACTTCCTCCATTTTAAGATTAGGCCACCGCGTTTCGACTTATTTGAGTTTTTCGGATATTTTGAAAATGACCTTGAAATGCAGTGGAATGGTTTATGAAAATGCAGCGGCTTAATCATAAAATGGAGCTTAAATATTAGATAAATTTAAATATTAAAGATTAGAAAAATTTCAATGCGTCTCGTATAACATATAAGTAGATTCTTATACCGAAAAATTAAAAAAAAAAACTTTTATAATCCAAAACACAGTGGCATAAACTTGAAATTGGGTCATTTACAAAATGGGGGAAATCTGCTGCTCCAGAAACATAAAATTAGACCTTTATACTTGTTAAATTCTAAAAACTTAAATAAGTTGAAACGCAGTGGCGTAATCATAAAATAGAGGTCATTTTCAGAATCTACGGTTCCGAAAACATAAAAGTAGAGCTTTAAATTGGCTAAATTCGAAAAACTTAAATAAGTCAAAATCCAATGGCGTAATCATGAAATGGAGGTCATTTTCAAAATCTACAGCTCCGGAAACATAAAAATACACCCTCATATGAAAAATATCCGAAAAGCTCAAATAAGTCAAAATCCAATGGCGTAATCATGAAATGGGCGTCATTTTCAAAATCTACAGCTCCGGAAACATAAAAATACACACTCATATGAAAAATATCCGAAAAACTCAAATAAGTCGAAACGCGGTGGCCTAATCTTAAAATGGAGGTCGTTTTCAAAATCTACGGCTCCAGAAACATAAAAGTAGACCTTTATATTTAATAAATTTTAAAAACTTAAATAAGTCAAAACACAGTGGCGTAAACATAAAATGGATGTTATTTTCAAAATTTACTGATCGGGAAACATAAAAATACATCCTTATATCGAATAAGTCAAAAAAACTTAAATGATTCGAAACGCAGTCAGTTAATCTTAAAATGGGGGTTATTTTCAAAACTAGGTACAGGACAGCATAATACTAGTCCCTAATAAATCCGAATAGGTACAATAAATCGATATCCGTAAGTGAAAATTCTACTTAGAAGAGCATAATAATAGACTTTCATAT